AATTTGACAATTTAACCAATGATTCTGCAGTATTTATACATGGACAAGGAAAGAATGTTAATCTGTAAGATAATAATTACAGGGTGTGATCACATGGCATATAGCTCACATTTTGGACTGCTTGTGACTTGGTCCAGTGCAAGTTATTTCTTGACAATCACACAGGCAATAGTGCCCCAGCCTGACCCTGATTTGTGCCCAAGTGGGACCTCTTTGGTTCAACAGTAGGGCTACTATTTTTAGGGGCTGGGCTGGAATGATTCCTGAATAGAAGAAAGGGTCTCCTTAAGAGAGATTGCTCTCAGCAAAATTCCAGTGAAATCAGATGTGCTCTTTTCTCCTCCTCTTCTTGCGCCCGTACTCTCCTCCATCTTCCTGTGCTTTTCCTTCTCTTTCCCCATTTTTAATTGTCTTTTGAATGGTCAATTTAACACATGTAATCCATGGAAATATTGCTCTGGCCTGTTAATGATGCTGGGCTCTTTGCTCCATACTCTAGTCACCTGAGAAACATACAAATACCCCTGATTTGCTTAATCTTTATACCTTTGTCTAACAATGCACATCCTTAGATATTACTGGAAGCACCTGCAGATTTTCATAAAATCAGCATTTTGAATCTTTTTGGATTTCTTCACGTGCTTGCAGCCCAACAGAAACTAACGACTGATTAGCTTTGGGGAAGTTGATAAGAAGATGCTGATTGTTATGATCCCTAAGTGTGTTTATTTAATCAGGTTGACACAACAGTCTCTATATGATAGAGAATGCAGTCTGATCTTAAAGTCTACCTTCGTGCCTTTATTAGGTATTTGTTTTCTTAAACCCACAAAACTTAAGTAACTCATTAGGGAAGATTTTTGGTGTAACTGTAATCTGCAAATCACTACCACTTTCTGAAGTAACATATGTAAATGCTAGTGGTATTGCCATGAGTTTTATCATAGTTCACACTTGTTGTGACTTCTTTGGGCTGTGTAAGAGGAACATTCTTCTCTCCCTGTCCCAAATGTTTTTCAAAAGTCCAGCAATATATATACACATACACAATCCTGTCAAGTTATAAAAGCAAGTGCTGAGTGCTGAGCACAGAGTGCTGTCCTCTGAAGATGCCGGCCACAGAGTCCAGCCATGAAAGCCTTCGCGAATACATTGCTCTTGAATTGATTGGAATTCCCCTACAAATTGCTTAAGTTTGCTCCAGCCTATGGATAGATAGAAATGCTGAAAGTAAAACAGCAACAAAAATAACAACAACTTGAAGCCAATTGCTGTAACAAAAGAAGAAACACCGAAGCAGAACTAGACTGATAGCTGAAGTCCTCAAGGAAAACCAAAACTTCTCCAGGAAACTCCAAATGCTGTTCCTTCGGGGAGGGCTCCGACCAGCCTTATCAGTATCTATACATTCCTGTACACTTGGCCAAGCAGCCATCTCACATCCAGGCATGGAAAAATGGCTATCGTTTCATCCACCGCACCTCATTGTTTTCTCTTTTCTTCTATTTGTCACGGCTGATGCAGGGAGTGTGCATGGAAGGGCAAAATGAAGGGTGAGGTTCACAGTCCCAAAGGAAACCCTTTCCTATCCCATGGGCTTCATGGTAGCTCTCTAGAAGCCAAAAAAGACCACTGTTATCCAATGAAGAAATTCAGTGAAGAAATGCACTGTTACATCATTGGGCTATATAAGTATTTCCAGTGCAGACCATCCAAGACCGCAAGTGAGGTGTGGTGGATGGCACGTCGGCTCAGAATGCAGAAGACATGGGTTCAAAGCCACTCCACACACCTCAGAAACAGTACTAGAATTGTCATAGGTCAAAAGCAATTTGACAACACAAAACAAACAAAGCCTATCCAGGGCGTTCTGCTGGAAGTTATGGGAGTGGTTAAAAATCCTGAAGTTCTAGGTGCTACAGTCCAAACTCTTCCTCAAACCTGTCATAGGCCTGTTGCAAAGCCACCTGCTTCCTTCTGGGTCATTTATACTCATCTTCACATATAGTTTTGTCATTGGAGCAAAGAATACGTTCCTTTTTTAGGCTTGGAGAGATCAATGCTTTGGTTTAGACTAGCAACCTAGACAGAGAACTAGATCCCTATTAGAGAGTATCTGAATGCAGTCAAGGGCTTGATCCCTTTCCATGAGATAATCATCTGAGCCTGGAGCCTTGTTACTTTTGTGGTCCTAATAGCTCATTCTTTTTTCAGATGTAAACAGGGATGCTGCCAAATAATCTTGTAACTGCTTGTCTAAAGGTGAGATTTCTACCTTGCCTAAAAAAACATGAAGCCACCTTCTTAGTCAGAACATGTTTCTGTCGCATAACAGGCGAATGAAATTGCTTAAATTGCTGTAATTGCTTTTTCTGACATACACTTATTTTACTAGTATTATAATTAAGTATTGAGACACCTGAGCCTGAAGGCTAGCAATTTGCCATGTTTTTCCCCCAAATGACTCCCAATATTTTTGTGCAAGTCAGCAAAATCACCTTGAGAAGTTGATTCTTTGTGAGTTTTCTGACAGACCATCATTTTTTCCCAGCAATTCCCAACCCTTTACTGCCTGATCTCTCAAGTCCCTGGATCCATCATATATAAAACTCTAGCCCCTGGGGCCACTAATTCCTTTATTTCACTCCACCCCATCAGTCCTCTGTCCCAGGCTTGTATATACCTCCTTCTTCTTCCCCAGAAGCAGATAATCTTTCTTGACCAGCTGCCACCTTTTCCTAGATCATTTCCATCCATGAATCCCTGTGGCTAGCTCATATCACTGGATCCTCAAAAAGGAAGGGCATTGCCAAAGACATTCCCAGTTATCTCCTCTGCCCCTTGCAGACTAGAAGATGGGCTCCCAATCTTTTATTTATCCTCTCACCCTGGGAATGCCAGGGTGGCACTCGTCCCAGTTTCCATCACACACATGTCCTACTAACACACTGCTTACTCCTGGATGCTGCGTAAGTAAAGCTTCTAGTAGGGCCATATTAAGCAACTTTCCTTGCTTTAGTCCTTAGCTCATTCTGGGTGATGAGTGAAAGGGCTGGATGAAAGGGCTTACTACTGCTATCCAGTAGTAAGTCACAGCGAGAACCATAGAATCGTAGAATAATTGAATTGAAAGGGGTTTATAAGGTGACTGAATCCCACTCAATGCAAGAATACAAATCAATGCAGATCTGACAGATGGCTGTCCAATGATCTCTTGAATGCCTCTAGTGTTGGAGTGCTCATCACCTCCCAAGGTAATTGGTTCTGTTGTTGTACTGCTCTAACAGTTATGAAGTGTTTCCTGATATTCAGCCTAAATCTGTCTTCCTTTATCTTGAGCCCATTGTTATGTGTCTGGCACTCTGGGATGATTGAGAACAGATCCTACCCTTCCTCTCTATGAAATACTTTCAAGTATTCAAAAAATACTATCATAGCTCCCCTCAGTCTTCTTTTCTCAATGCTAAACATACCCAATTCTTTCAGTGTGGTCTGCTCTGCCTATCTCCACCCGAGGTGAATTGCCCAGCTGCATTCCTGCCTTGACACCATGTCCCTCACTATGCTTGGCCATGCATTGGTAGTCTTGAGATTAACTGCAATGCTGTCTACATGGTGCTGCCTATGAGGCTGCTACATAAACTTCAAAAGATCCAGAATATGGCAGCTAGACAATTGAGTGGTATGAAGAAATACCATCCTATCTCCCGTACTCTGGCCACCATGCAAGTGTAGCCTCTTAGTTTCTGTACCAGCTTCAAGATAATGATGTTGACATAAAGGTAAAGGTTCCCCTTGACAATTGTCCAGTCATGTCCAACTCTAGGGGGCGGTGCTCATCCCTGTTTCCAAGCCATAGAGCCAGAGTTTGTCCGAAGACGATCTTCCGTGGTCACATGGCCAGTGCGACTTAGACACGGAACACTGTAACCTTCCTACCGTGGTGGTATCTATTTATCTACTCTCATTTATTTAGACTCGTTCAAACTCAGAATCTCTGGAGGAGTGGGGGAGTCACTTAAAGTGGTCTCATGAGGGAGGCTATCGTGGGGAGTTTTCTGATGGCTTTTGGGAAATTTCTTTTCACCTCAGCAGGTGATCCTCTTGGAGCCCAGGTCATTCTATGAAACTGGGAAATGGTCCAGGTAGCGGACATACACATAACTAATAGAGATGGGGACAAACTTGAAAAACGACACATCAGGCTGGTTTCTGGTTCATGGTTAACCACGAACCACAAGCCACCACAAACCCCAGAAGAACAAACAAGGTTCATGGTTGTTTTTTCTGGTTCATACCAGGGAGGAACCTACCTGGTCCTGTCCTCTGACACCTGCCCGCCCCCTTCCCATATTTATTTTTAAGATACCTTGTGTCCCTTGTTTGGGATAAAGGTGGCACAGAAATGAAATGGAGATGTTAAAATAGTTCAGCCTCATTTCTTGAATCTACTTTCACTTTACCTGACTCTAAAATCACAATGTTTATTATTAAAAGAAGGGATGACATCACCTTCAGGAAGTTGGTGGTGTTGACCTAGTGAACACTAGATGGTCTTTCGAGAAATACCTTGTGTCCCTTGTTTGGGATAAAGGTGGCACAGAAATGAAATGGAGATGTTAAAATAGTTCAGCCTCATTTCTTGAATCTACTTTCACTTTACCTGACTCTAAAATCACAATGTTTATTATTAAAAGAAGGGATGACATCACCTTCAGGAAGTTGGTGGTGTTGACCTAGTGAACACTAGATGGTCTTTCGAGAAACCAAACCATAGCCAGACAATGCCAGGAGATTTGTATGAAGGGTGGCTGACTGACAGGTACACAAAGAACAGTTTTTCTAGATGGGTGGCTTTGAATGAAACAGATATCTTATATGTAAATAACCCACACCAAAGCAAATGTTGTTCAGCCCAGGCTTACTCAACACAGAAGGAGGTGGGTGGTGAGAACTCTAGGTTGCCTCATGCACACATCATAGAGTGCTAAGGTGGAATATCCAAGCCAGCTTCCTTCTACTTTGAAATGAACAAAAACAAAAGCGATATGATAGAAACATAACACCAGGAGGGAAGAGAGCAAGAGAAAAGGTGACACGAGCTCAAGGTATTGTACTTCTTTGCTTCATATTCACAAATAAACTATACCATCCTAGAGATATTACAGAAAGGTTGGATTTATGAATTGCTAGTTTGGGAAAAATAAGTCTTATTAGGCATGAATATTATAACTTAAGACAATAAGTGTAAGGTAATATTGATATGTGTACAATGTGCCATTAGGTAAACTCCAGCATATGGTGACCCTTACAGAGTTTCCATGGTCCTGAAAGTGTTTAAGGGGTAGTTTTACCTGTGTCTCCCCATAGTGACTTCCTGTGGCTGAGTGAGGATTTGAATCCCATTTCCTGAGTCCTAGTCAAACGTATTATTCACTATACCATATTGGCTCTCTCTTGCTATTTGTGCTAAGCTAAAATACTGCACTTTAGCCCTAAAAGCGGGGTTGCTGTAGTTGTCACGTATATTAATAACTCTCTCTCTCTCTCTCTCTCTCTCTCTCTCTCTCTCTCTCTCTCTGTCTGTGTGTGTGTGTGTGTGTGTGTGTGTGTGTGTGTGTGTGTGTGTGTGTGTGTTGCCATATCTACCTGTCCCTGCCAATCTCCACAGTCACCTCTTACAAAATTGTGAACCCGTGCCACCAGAAATTTGGTATGCATAGTAAGGAATCCTTGACAGCACACATCTCAGGCTTACTTTGTCTTTTGAAATGGGTTAATTAATTTTGATCAACTAAATTCTAGCCAGCATTACCACTAGTTCTATGGGTGGCAGACCCCCACATGTCCTCAAGTGCAGTTTCCTCCCTATATTTGAGGCCAGTTTCAGGTGAGGCCAGAAGTAACCTTTTTAAGCCTTCCATTCTGACTAGCAAGAGCCATTTCACTTCTGGAAAAACAGATTTTTTCCCCCCTTCAGTGTTATTTCTGCTGCCTGATCATCCTTGCCTGTTCCTAAGTCCAGTTATAGATGTTGGTAGGGAAAGAGAAAGAGAGAAGGGGGACAGATTCCTCTTGCCTGGTGTGTGGAGGTGGGGAAATTATTTAAAGAAAACAATAATATGGCCATCTCTCTCTCTCTCTTTCACTGTCTCACCCTCTCTCATTATGTGAATACCATGCATTTCTGTGAGCCTTTGTAAAGACATGCACCAACATATGGGCCATACATCCAGTGGTGGGATTCAGCAGGCCAACAAACGGTTCTGCAGAATCAATAATACATTAGCTACCAGTTCTGTAGAACTGGTGCGAACCTGCTGAATCCCACCACTGGCCAGGATCAGTGGTGGGATTCAGCAGGCCAACAAATGGTTCTGCAGAACCAATAATACATTAGCTACCGGTTCTGTAGAACTGGTGAGAACCTGCTGAATCCCACCACTGCATACATCCTTGAGAAGCAGAAACTGGGAAGTAATCTCTCACAGTACCTAGATTCTTCAGTTGCATTTCCTTCATGCACTAGCGTCCAAGGCTTTAGTGGGACTGAAATTTTCACCTCATGAATGAGTTCTATGAGCCATCTTTTTGCCACCCTGTGATGTAAACTGGGAAGGCAGTGTGCCTCATCCACAGAACAAAGGGTGAGCAACTTCTGAGGCTTGTAAGCCATAATGTATAGTGAGTGTGACAATTTCTCAAAATAGCTTTGGCTAGGAACACTGTCTGTTGTTAGTCAGATAGTTACTTTTATAGCTTGCCTGTTCTTTCAGTGAATCCAAGCAGTGTTCACTGTTCCTCCATTCCCATTTTATATTCCCAACAACCCCTTGAGAAAGGCTAAGCCAAGAAAGATCACCCATTAAGTTTCCTGGCTCAGTGGGGGCTCACTTCTGGCTCTCTCAAGTCCCAGTCAAAAACTCCAAACACCACTATTTCACAGCATCTCTCTTCCTCTTCGTTATTTTTCTTTTCTTATTTTGAAATCAGACACAGACTCCATTGGTTCAGGAGCCTGATCTGATGGAAGTTGTACAATGTCCAGAACTCTAATTCTCTGCTAGTATTTTGATTATTCTGAAATCCTTTGCATTTGGCATTTGCATTTGGATTTGTATTCTTTTGTCTAACAGTCATCTTGTGTCAACTTTAAAACCTCTGATCCCTTAATCTGACTATCCTTAGCCATCAAAATTGTCTAAGCTTCCTGCTAAAAGATTTACAAGATACTTGGTTTTTTTATTGAATAGGTCAAAGCTTAGCTACACTAGAGGTGCCTCAAACAAACAAGGTTTTACTATCGTTCTTGTTTTAAAAGGTTAATTACAACGAAGAAACCAAAAGTTGAACACAAGTCAAGCCTTGGTCAAAGGTATATTTGTAGAAAGACAGCTGTTAACAGGACTGTTTCCCTGGCATTTCTCTTGCAGTTAATTGAAGAGATAAGATAGGAGCCTTTCACTGCATCCTCCAGTTAATGTATAAAGATGCTGGTCAGCAAAAAGCATTATTCAGACTTCCTGTTTGACGAAATGCTCCGTATTAGCTATTTGACCATTCATTTTGCCCCTGCAAGCACACACGTACAGTTTTAATGTATAACTTGAATGCTGGTTTAGTGATATGGGAAATAGAGGTCTGTAGGAAGCAGTTGGTCTTTGCTTCCATTCCCTATACTTTGGGTGGCATCCTTTCTATACAGCTGAATGAGTGTCTTCAGAAATTCCTAACATCTCCACCGCTATGTTGTCCAATGTACGGACATTTCCATGATGCAAAAAGTCTTCTCTCTCTCTCTCTCTCTCTCTCTCTCTCTCTCTCTGTGTGTGTGTGTGTGTGTACCAATAGTTGTGCAAAGTTGAAGTGGGCTTTGAGAGGAGCTGTTGTGAAAGATTAAAAGGGAAATGACTGGAAAGGTGAGAGGCGAGCAGTCCCTACAGATACATATGAAGAGACAGCCTGTATGCTATGAGGCAGAGCTTAGAAATGTTACTTTTCTGCACTATGACTCCCAGAATTCTTCCAGCCAGCATTTATTATTGATCTATTTTAGAATATTTTCACCCTCTCCCAAAAGGACTTGGGGCGTCTGGGAAATATAGTCCAAAAGTAACTTTGCCCAAATTCTCATGTGGAGAAAGGAAACGTAAGAGCAAATGGGGAAAAGGTAAGCGATCCAAAGTCACACTAGTTTAGAATGATAATTAAACCAGATTTTTGTTTCCCCATTTTATACCCACAAGATGGTGCTGTGCTACCCATGAATGCATGCCTACTCTTGTTCTGTCTGTGCCATTGCTCCTCATTTGAAACTGCTTTTACTAGGATTGGTATAAAAGTATTACAACCTAACTCCTTCTATACATATTTATTGAAAATTAAA